CCCCAAAACCCCAAAACCCCAAAACCCCTCACTGCTTAAGTAACTCTAAATCAAAGAATTTATTTTAAAGCGAACAAAAATTTAGTTACACTTCACTTATGGAAATTACGATTGAAAACTTTGAAGAGAAATTGGAAATTGTCTCAAAATCTATAAAGAGTTGCGAGTTTATATCATTTGATTGTGAGTTTTCAGGTTCTAAAATGGGTTTTGAGGACAAACCTCATGAATTCGATTCATTAGATGATAAATACAGGAAAAATAGGCATGCTGTTTAGAGTTTTTTGGCATTTCAAGTAGGATTAACGACCTTTATTTGGAGTAGCATGAAGAAAAAGTATATTGGGAGGCCTTTCAATTTTCTTGTATATCCTAGGCATATTTTAAAAGAAAGATATCACTATGCTAGTGTAAGAATATTTATGATACTGATATTGTATATAGAGTGAGACATATGATTTCCTAAACAAATTTCACTTCGACTTTAATAAAGTTTTTAGATATGGATTGGTATATTAATATAAATTTTAACTCTTCATTAGTCTTATGAGTAGTTAAGTAAGAGAAAGGAAGTGAAGAAGCAAGCTGAGAAGTATTTATTCAAAGAATATGAATTGAAACATTACCAGCAATTATCTATAAAGAGCCAAAAGTAAGTAACTATTGAGAGTTCATAAAAAATCATAGAAAAATGAAAGATTACTTTGAATAGATAGTCAAATTTTCAGATGATGTTGACTAGATCAAGGAGACAACTTTAAGATTAAATATTGATAACTTTAGAATAAGATAATTTTTATCAAGAGAAATCTATAAACGATTTCAGTTTGGGTATTTTAGAGTTGAGTTTTCAAAGGAGAGTGATTTATTTATGGTGCATAAACTGTAATCAAATGATGAAACTGGAACCCCAATCTCTATGTCATCGTTTACTGTAAAATATTTGTATTTTAAAGCTTTAGAATAATGAAAAAAGATAAACAGCTAACTCTATGAATTCTAAGTATCAGCAAACTGATAAGGATATAGAGTAGTAGAATCAAATGGAGATTTAGGATATAACTGATTTTGAGATTGGATTTTCAAAAGTGATAGAGGAGTTAATAAATTCAAAGAAGCCTTTAGTTGGACATAATATGCTCTTTGACATGATGTTTCTATATCAGTAATTTATAGATGAGTTACCTCCCACACTCAAAGAGTTTGTTGCCAAGGTAATTAAATATTTATAATGATAATTAGTGGTTAGAAAAGTTTCCACTAGTATATGACACCAAAGCTATTGCTTCAAATTTATGTTTATTCAATAAAACTGATCTGAACTCAATGAGTTTGCAAGTGCTTTAGAACAAGAAATTTAAAAACTACCTAGAATTTGAGTTTGATATCTCACATAACTTTGTCAAATATCAAAACAAATGCATGCTCCATGAAGCAGGATATGATTCTTATCTGACAGGCATAATTTTTGCTAGTCTAGTCAAATATTTGGAAACGCAAGCTTTTTATGAGTATCAGAAAAATAAAGCTCAGAAATTGAAGGCAAATGCTATTAACACATTTGAAGAGGAAAACTAAAACCAGATACTGCATTAACTGACCTTGCTTCAGATGTAGGATAATGGTGGTAATAACACTTTTTCCAAAGTATCCACATTTTCAAAGCATTACACTTATATTCCTTCAGCCTAGAGTATATAAGAAATAGCTAATAGTTAGGTGGTCTTAGAAAGTGCCTATGAATTTAAAAACTACATAATGATTGCCTTGGAGGGATAGAAATACGTGAAGCTTGAGAAGAATTTAAAGGAAGATTTCAAGGAATTCTAAAATGTGCTATTTATTTAGCTGAAGAGAGATATATCTGCTTTTGATTTGAGTAAAATGCTCAATAAATACGGAGATGTTTATGTAGTCAAAGACACTTTGTTGACTTGCTTTGCTGAGTTCACATACTTTGATGGGTTCTAAAATTAGAAGCAAGTCGATATCTAAAATTTTATTAATACATTAAGGAGTGATGAGATTGTTGGAAGTGTTGTGGAGGAAATTTAAACATATAATGATAAGATAATGACTAATAAAACAGTGATTTGCCTCTGAATTGAAATTTAATTAATTTTTAAACTTATTAAATCCTGAATCATTTTACTGGAGGGGTTTTGGGGTTTTGGGG